GGCCAATTGTAAATCAAAATTTCTGTAGTCTGCTTGATGTATTTGTAGCCCTTTCACACAGTAGAATTAACGTTTGTTCTATTAACAATGTTCTAGAGAGAAACTGACTTCCTGACTAGAAATATAGGTTATGAATATTGCAAATAAAGAATTGAATTCTTCACATGCTTCAGTGAGTATGTATGTAATGATTAAAATATTGATTTTTTAACTATTTAGATTTCAACCAAAGTATTATTTTACTTGAGCTGCTTTATATTTCAACATTTGCTAAATCAAAATTTTACATAGCACTAAGGTGTTAAAGTTAAACTAGGTTATATTTAAAAGTTTATTTGACCCAGTAGATTTTGTTAAATAAAGATTGATAATTTTTAATAGGTGATAGTTATGGTTGAAGATAGGAGCTAGCTACTGAATGAGTATCCTGATGTGTCTTTGAACACACATTTTGTCATTTACTCTTGAAGGTCAGTTATATTAAATTGAAACAATAAATTGGCTTTCTTTTTATTTGATGCCTACACTTTTTATATGTACAGTTATCCACTTGACTTCCACAGCAAATATTCAGTGTGATATGGAAATTAATTAAATTATCTTTGTTCTACATAAACATTAGCAAAGTTCTAATTGAGCTAGAACTGTGCACATATTTTACCCATCAATATGTTCAATTTTTCTAGATTTAACAAAATGAAAATTTTTTATCGGCTTGAAAAGTTATGCTGACCAAAATCTTGGGTTAAAACAGTTTGAAACAAATTGGAACTTGGAGCAGGTGGCTTAACCATGTTGAATAAAAACTATTCTGATTCTTTAATTTCATTAAACTTGAGTAATTTACTGGTGCCTTTATCTTTTGGGGGAAGATAAGGTACTCCTTAAGTCAGATCTCTGGGACTGTTACCATTCCCTAGAACAAAAACTGGCTTCTATTTGCCTTGTAGCTATAACTTGTATAGTAACTTAACCTTATTTTTGACTTTTCAGGACCTTAAAAATGCTTTATTTTAGGCTTGATACAAACGTAGGCTGATTATGCCAAAATTAAATGCAAAAAAAAAAAAATCCAGTGAAAAAATAATGACATTGTCTTTTTGAAATACCTGTGTGGTTGGTTGCATCATTTTCTTTAGCTTCAGCATTAGAGCTTACATTTTTTTTTCGCACCTGAGTATGTTTGCCTAAAAGAACCAAGACTACACATAGCTCTCAATGATATATGTGAATACTCCCACCATAAGGAGTAAATAAAGCTGTATTAACAGATTTGGTAAAGATATGTAGTGATGTTCTTAAAAATTGTTATGTGTAGACCTTTGCAAGATATTTTTTTTTGGAAAGTAAAATTTAATTGCTGCTTATAATGCTTTTCTGTTTTCGAAAAGCACATCATGGTGATAAAACACTGTTATAATAGTAAAAACAGTTGCATATTACCTGTGATGCTGTCCTCTCATATTATGATCTTTCAAATCTCTTGTGAGGTAATAATCTCATATAATGAACTATAAACTTTTAATACATAGTGATTCTTAAATAACAGGTGCTATACACCCACACTGAGGTTGATTACTAGCAGGAAATATTTTTTTGAATCCTGAATGTATAAAATCTATGTATGTGGAAATGTGTACATGATTCAATCATACTGTTCATTACTGTTTGGTTAGATCAGAATATCTGGTTTGGTCTAGTTTTCGTATGACAAGAGGCAGTATTTGCCAACTTTTATACTTCATAATTTGCTCTTGAGTATTACAAAAATTAACAAAGACTAAAACATTTTAACAAATCATAAATTTAAATTCCACTATCTGAAGCTTCAATGATGTATTTTATTGCATATATTGTAATTATATAAGCCTACCTTGTTTTGTATTGTATGCAAGAAGCTTATCCTAATATTTTGTACTTTATGAAAGAATCAGTTAACATAGAACATTGAAGACCACCATTTGGCATTAATAATGGCAAATCTGAGAACTGTAGCTAACCTGAAACTTTTTAGTATGTGAACAGTATCATAGAATCCAGTGACACTTTGCTTATTTCTTTTTGCAAGTGTTTCAGGATAAGCTGTAGGCTGTTCATCATGTATTGAGTCTTCACTGAAATGAGGGGCTGTGTCTTTATTGCTCATAAATTTGAACTGTTGTCGTTTTGGAAAATAAGCCTGGTGATGTTGAAATAAATTTGCCAAATCAACCTTAATTCTATTTTTAGGCCCGTGACTGTTAATGTCTACCTGGTGAATTAACAGAATTATGTTTGCTTTCTCTGTATTTTATTTTAAAACTATGTTGAAAGAGTATGCAGATCTTTTCACAATTTTGTACTCTCCAGATGTTGTGGACTTAAGCTCCACTGATTTCCCAGCGTCGAAGTCCAACATATCTGAAGGCAGAAGGTTTAGGTAGTCTGGATGGCAAGCATAATTAAACTATAAAGATACCAGATTGAAATGCCTTATGTGTCTAAGTTCTATGGGCCTTTATAATCTCTGACCATATTTCTGCAGTTTTGGACACTTGTCTATTTTAGCAGACTGATCAGCCATAGAAGCACTATGTTTTCTTCTAGCTTGAAACCCCAAATTTGTAATCTGTATGATTGGGAGGGAGAGAGAGAGAGAGAGTACTTAAATTTCCTACCCAATGAGTTATGCAGAAAAAGGTTTTATTAACAGTTCATTGTGACACATTTCATACAAGATGATGTAATTTCAACATCCTGTCGTGGCATCCTGAAAGAAAGGTATAGTTTGAGTTCAAAAATTAAGTTAAAAATCCTACTTAAAACTTATCTATGCATTATGTGAAGTTGTATCTTTGAACTATTTATTATGTGTGATTATTAGCTTTCAGTATTTTTAAACCTTTTGATTTCAGATCTAACATAACCTGATAGCCTCAAAGAGCATTCGCAAGATTGGCAAGTTTCATTGCTCAAAATCCTATGAGTATATGTATATGTCGTTATAGTGTCTTCAGTTGAATTATTTATATGCTGCTTCTCAGAGGCTTGGTGAAATAGTCTTGGTGCTTGTTCATAAAGTTGTATTCTAAAATTCAGGCATCCTTTGGTTACATTGTATGTTTCAGTTAATCCCTAAGTGAAAAGTGACACAGTTAAATAGTACAAACAACAAATTTCTATAAACATGAACACAAATATCAGTGAAGAAAATTGAAGCCAAAAAAGTTTAGTAATAAATTATTTGAAGTATACATGCAAATAACCATGAAATATAAGAAAAGGCTTATCAGCGGGGAGATCTCATGCTCTTAATATTTCTAAGGGAGAATGCATCTGTAAGGAAGAGTGAAAAATTCCAAAAGCAATTATAGAGAGACTTAAATGCAGTGACATCTGGTTGTGTGAAGAGTGTTTAACAAAATCAAGATGATTGCAGTAGGCCCATCAAAGCCCAGTATAAAATACTGTTAAGTGTTGTGGTAAAGCATTAAGGTATGGCTTCATTTGTTTTGTGACTGTCACCTGGACTTTTATTTGTTTTATATTATCTCTATCAGACACTGCATCTTAACTAGCTACCAAAGACATTTTAATGAGTTTTTACTTTATAAGTAACTCAAGATGGTGAGCGTACTTAATACTCCTTCCTCCTACTTTCCTACAACCCTGAGAGATTGATTGGTCGGACAAAGTGACTGGCCCAAAGTCACCCCATCTGGCTTTCATGCCTAAAGTGGGATTAGAACTTAGTCTCCTGTATTCTTGAAGTTATTTCTGCCAAAGGAAGGTGTTAGAGACTACTATCTAAAAGGATGTCCAAACCTTTGCAGCGGACAAACTATTGATTGAAAAATTCATCTAAATAACAGTATTAATGCCTTCAAATTTACAGAATGATTTAACTCGACTTCATAGAGGTATTAGCTTCTATTCTAAGGATTCACTAAAACAATTTTATTATGGTGCCTAATTTTGCCTGCAACTACATATGAAATAGTTTAAAGTCATTTGATTCACTATCAAAGTGATTTATATGGATTTAAAGCTGCAGGTAATGGACATTTTAAAAGGAAGCAATATGGTCAATCAGGTTCCTGTAAAGGAATTCATTTAAGTTGTTTTACTAAAAATGTGAATGTATTGTAAAATTTATTAAACTATACAAAAGCAACTCATTACACAGGATAGTTATTGTTAAGTCTTCTGCTGTGCTTGTATAACAATTATTTTTAGTGCTACATAACCATATTCTAATGCTAGAACTTAATATAACCAGACAATATTTATTTATATCCTGCCTTTATTATTTTTATAAGTAACTCAAGGCAGTGAACATATCCAACACATCTTTTTCCTCCACCTTCTTCCTATAACAGCCCTGTGAGGTAGGTTGGACTGAGAGAGTGACTGGGCCAAGCTTACGCAGCTGGCTTTCCTAGCTAAGGCGGAACTTGAACTCACAGTCTCCTGCTTTTTAGCCTGGTTCCTTATCTTTTAGACCAAACTGGCTGTTTATGAAGACAATTCAGTAAACCTTTATTTCAGTTGTCCATTAGTAGTAATGATCTATTTTAAAAATGCAATATTACATAGAAAAATAGAGCAAATCAACATGCCTATAGCAGTGGTGGCGAACCTATGGCACGGGTGCCAGAGGCGGCACTCGGAGCCCTCTCTGTGGGCACATATGCCGTTGCCCCAGCCTTGCTTCCACCCGTGACCCCCTCACCAGCAACCTCCCTGGAGGAGAGTCGCTCCTGAGCGTGGCCCACATGGAGCAGCGCATCCAAGGACATGGCAGCCAGGCAGCGTAGAGAAGACTCTGCCCTCATGCCCCAATGCGCATAATTGATGATGGGGGTGGGCAGAGAGCGTGGCCACACCATGGTGCTGCTGGGTTGCCTGGGCGATCGGCGGGCCCTAGAGGCGGTGAGTGGCCCTGTGGGCAGGCAGGGTAAGGCGGAGTGGGGTCGGGGCCAGTTTTTGAGCACTGGATCTCTAAAAGGTTCACCATCACTGACCTATAGCCTTGCTTTGCTTTATAGATTTTATTACAGTATATGCATGTATGGAGCAAACTCTACTGGCAGCTCAGTATTACTACATTTGTAATCTTGACTGTTGGCCAGATGCTAGGTAACAAAATATCTTAAAGATGCTTCTGCAGGGAATAGAATATTTTTGTAATATCTGACAATTTGCAGAACAACAAATCTACCTACCTCATTAGAAAAAATGTTTTAATTTACATTTTAATTTAATTTAAAAATGTGAAATTCTTAGGATCCTAAGACAGCTTTATTTTATCTAAAGCTTTCCATAGGAACCAGTATGGTAAAAGTAGGGCATATGTATACTAAGCTTTTATTTTCCAAAGATCTGGGCTATTGATTATTCTATTGCTGAGTTTCACTATAATGCACCCCTCTGCCCATGTCAAACATGTTAATGAAGATTTTAAAGATTGAACACATAGGTCAGGATCACATACTGAATGAAGTTGAATGAATAATCTGTGAACTTAAACCAGGGTAGATAAACATTTTATACTGGTAGATATATATGTGACCTGTTTGTGGATAGTGTCTGGTTGTTGTTGTGAACCCGTTACCAGAAAGTTGGTGAGATTGCTCCCTGCCAGCCCACGTTCCCTTTGTTTTCTGGGCAGTTGAACACATAAAGCACTGGGTTGTGCTCATCTGTTATTTTTAAAGGGTATCTGTAGAGTACATGTGCTCTGTGGCATAATTGCAAATGAAGACGCCAGAGGGCAGATGATTGCAGTATGTCACCTTTCCTTAGTAAAAGAATAATCAGAACCTAGCAAATACTAAGGTTCATATTTATCTCTGTACTCAGTTATATATAAATATCAATTTTGGTTAATTCACTTGCTATGTTGCCAGAATGGCATGATCCATATACATATACATGTAATTGTCAGAAGGCTAGAAAGCAAAAGGTTGCAGAAATATAAATTAGTTAATTTGCCTGAGAGACATAAAGTATAAATTCCTTCAAAAACTAGTGAGTAAGCAGCCCCAAGTGGTATGGATTGTCATTTATTGGCAAGAGCAACAGGAGAAGACATTAGGCACATAAAGGTCACATTTGTGTACAGCTAGTCCTCACTTAACAGACTGCAACTAGGACTGGCAGCTTCATTGCTACTGTAGACAATGCAGTTGTAAAATGAAGCATCATGTGACCATGCCTGACTTACATTGTCACTTTAAGGTGTCATTAATCAAATCAGTGTTAAGTGCAATGTTACATGACCACAACTTGTGACTTCCTGTCAGCTTCTGCACTGATTTTGCCTGTTGGAAATCAGCTGTGAAGGTTGTAAATGGCAATCACATGATTGGGATGCTGCGATCATTGTAAATGTGCACTGGTTGTCAAGTGCCTGAATCACTGTCATGTGACTGCAGTTTCAAGGAGCCATCATAACTCACCCTTTTTCAGCACCACTCCAACTGAATGGTCACTGAATGAATGCATCCATATTTGAGCTGGTAATTAGTTGTATCTTTTCTAGTTTTATAACTGTTCAGCTAATAAATACACTAATATATAAGAATTGCATGAGATGGGATTATGAGTGATTATAACTCACTATGTGCTAATCCAGAAAAATAAGGTTGTTTTTTTTAAAGCACCTGGTTTGAGCGTGTCAAGTAAATACCAAGATGTAAGAATTGTAACATTTTTAAAGTATAGTTTCCAATATGAAAAGCATATACCAACTAGCAGTCTGGTTTATCATTTGTATTTGTATGATCAAAGCATTCAGTAAATATTTAAGCAAGATGTTTTTCAGTCTCCATTCTATTGCTTTAAATCAGCCTGAAGTATATCAAGGCATCTATATAATTTCAGTTGAACATGTGGCATTTAATCCCTGTTATGTCATGTCACTTGGAGAATAAAGGTATTAAATAGCCTATAAACCCCATTTTGATTCTGTGTCTTGGGCTTGTGATTTAGTTGAGCTTAAAATGCACACATCTAACTATTTTCTTTACTCCTCTGATCCTGACAGTCTATCCGAGATGTAAGTTACAGTATGTGTATGGAAGAGCAGAGAATAAATAAGATAGTTGGTACTTTAAAAAAACCATATGCTATTATTTCAGTTGTAAAGGAAGTCCCCTCCCTCCAATCCATGGTCTATATTTAACAATCTGTATACAGTGCTGACACTTACAAACACGAATGCCTTTATCTGGGTTGCCAAAAATGATTTACCTACTTTCACTTAAGCTGAAAACTGACCCTAGCGAGGGAAAATGGATGTGCGAAGCTAATCGTTACACTCACAAGAGAACACATTTTGCCTTAACAAATACCTGCAACAACCCTGCCGGTTTTTAAAACTAGATTTGTTCCAAAGAATGCTGGAATTTTTCCCCCCCTTTTAAACACATCTTTTAAACGTATGGGTTTTATAGGCTACCCTAGAGCTTTGGAATAGGGCGAGAACCAAATCCAAACAAGTGCGATGTAAGGAGCGTGCGTTCCGAAGCAGGCGTCCCTTTCCTAGACATAAACCACGGGACCAAGACAAAAATCGCTCCCTTCCTTTTCCGCCCTGGCTGCATTTACTTCGTCCCCTTTGTCGGTCTTTTTAAACGCGCAGAACCCCGCCAAAAAGATGCCTCGGGCAAATGCAGCAGCCGGGGCGGTGCAATGTACCTATCCGCACAGCTGGTGTTGCCAGGAGACCGAGTCGCATGCTCGGAGCAGGAGAAAGAAAAGCAGAAGGGAGTGGGCTGCCGAGGCTGGAGGCAGAGTAGCAGCGGCAGCGGGGACCTCTGGGAAGGGAGTGTTCTGGCTGCTGCAAAGTTAACCTGCCGCTGTTGCTTTAGGCGTGAGAGGAAGCGGCGCAGGGGCGAGAAGGAAGGCGTCCAGCTGAGCGCAGCCAAATCAGGGCGCCGAGCGGTTCGCTGCGGCAGCGCTGGAGAAGCGAGCGGGCAGGAGGCGAAGGGCGCATGCAGCAAGGCTCCAGCTCCGCTCCGGCGGCGCACAATGGACGACGAAAGGTTGGTGCGGCTCGCTCGGCGTGGCTCGGCGAAGAGGGCAGGCGCCTTTTTGCTTGCGTCGGGCGGTAGGGGTGGGCGCGTGGGCGCGGAAGCCTGGCGGAAGATGTCTCAGCCGGATTCGGTAGCATCCCCCGAAAGTTGGCTGCGGTAACCTGCAAGCGACGCCGTTTATTTGCGTCTCTTTCTGGGTCGCGGCCGCGGAGGTTGCCCCGCCGCCGCCCCTCGTTGGGAGACGGGTAGCTCTGGTGAATCTTCCCCCTTTTTAGGGGAGGCGGTGGCGTTTGCCCCGGGTGACTTTTTTTTAAATTTTATTTGAATCAAGGGTTCATTCATCGCGAATCTCTTTCATCAGTTTTACAAATCCCCTTACACACACACAAACACACGCACACACACTTCCTGTCTCGGGTGGCCCTTTGAAAGTGTCTCCCTCTCTCCTTCCGTTCCTCTGGAGAGCCTCAATTTCTAGGAGACCTTCGAAAGCGGTAGCCGATTGGGAAGCCGATTCCTTTTCGGTGGGGCAAAGCTTTTAACTTCGTGCTCCGAGTTTTAATAACGCTCGTCGGAAAGATGGTAAGGTGAGGAGTGCGTACGTGTATGGGTGTGTTTGACCTGTGAGTGAACATCCTAGGCATTAAGATACAAGAGCAGTGATTAGATTCAGTCCTGCCGATTCGTGCATGAATTCGGCTTTCCCTTTTGCCTCTGTTCCCTCTCTCCTCCCTTCTTTCCACTGTTGTTCTGCAATTCACTTTTTAATCCACATATATATGCCTGCTTAGTGGCTTGGCACGGCAATTACCTAGGGTGAAAGGTTAAATTGTTTGGGTTTAATGAATCTCAAGCTGCAGGAAATATGTGTGAGTGGGTGCCTTTGCCGTTACTATGGGAACATTCTTGTGCAGCTACACTGGGGAGATTCACACAATCTGCTTTCTTAGTGTGGGATGCTAGTGGCTGCTGTTCTTTAAGAGTTTTATCATGGTAGTTGCTGACTGAATAGTAGCTCCGAAGTGGGGAGCAATTTCCTATTACGGATTTCCAAGAGAAGCTTCCATATCATCCATTGGAGGCTCCCTAATATTTAACCATAACCATAAGGTATGACTTAAATACACTGTGCATCACAGTGAATGTTTTTGCTTTGCACACTACTCAAGGACAGTAAATTATGCAATTCATTACATAAGTAAAGAGCTGAACTCTTGTTTCCAGCTGTGTGCCAAATGATGCCTTCCAAAACATTGTAATTTTTCTACTTTTTTGATGTTTGGCATTTCTTTGATGTTTATTTTGGATCTTCTTAACCTGCACATTTTGAGAAATCTAAGAAAAGTACAGCGTGTTTATAAAGATATTATTGGAAACACAAAGCCAACACTAGCTGTGACTTGTAAGATGCCAGATGAAGAAGCATTAACATCTAATAAAAAGATGACTAATCTATACCTGAAGGCATGAGTTTTGGGCCCAAGGCCATGAGTTATGAACTCAGAGCTAACTCTAAAAGGTTGCTAGGGCCAGAACAATGACTAAATTTGATGTAATTTATGTTTATGTTTAATTACAATTAAATTTAATGAAAGTGTTCTTATGATGATTCCCTCTGCATTTAACGTGCCCTATCATGTTGCACCTTTGGAGGGAGTCTGAAGGATCCATTTAAAACTTTTGGGTCAGTATGCAATTGTGGGAACTTACATTACAGTGCTATTAAATGCTCAAGATGTAATGTATGAAATATGATGGGAAGTTATATTGTTATTTCCCAGTAGTCAAATTAGAAAAGTGGTTTTTTTTCTCACTATGGGAGAATTCAGATTGATGAAACAGATTACTATCCAATGCGAACTCAAAGCTTGCCTCTCTTGGAAAAAAACAGGATATGTCAAGCACTTCCTTTTTACATTGTTAACTTGGACTTGTTTAGGAAAAAATAACACATAGAGACCGCTGTGCAGTAAGGCAGAACAAAACTATTGAAGTTGGTAAAATGCAATCTCTTTTTATCTCTTTCCATGGCCTGGTTCACTAAGGGAGGGTAAAAATGTTTTGGGTGCAGTATATTTTGCAAACCTTTTGACTGATATAGTTTGTGACAAGGTACAGTGTGAGAACCCAATCAGTTGTGGTTTATTTGGCAAATTGTGATCTATAGTTTGACAGTGGAGTAGGCAATATTTAAACAATTTCAAAAGCATGTAATTAGGATAGTTCGCTACTTACAACCATTCATTTAGTGACAGTTTGAAGTTACAACAGCACTGAAAGTGACTTGTGACTAGTTTTCACACTTGCAAGCATTGCAGCATCTCCTTGGTCATGTGATCAAAATTCAGGTACTTGGCAACTGGCATGTATTTGTGTTAGTTACACTGTCCCGGGATCATGTGCTCACCATTTGTAACTTTCTCAGCTGGCTTCTGACAAGCAAAGTTAATGAGAAGCCAGATTCGCTTAACAACCACATGATTCACTGAACAACTGCAGTCATTCACTTAACAACTATGACAAGAAGGTAAAATGGGGCACAACTCACTTAACAACTATCTTGTTTAGAACAGAAATTTTGGGCTCAGTTATGGTCTTAAGTTGAGGATTACCTGTACTCATGAGACTGCTGTCATAACACATGTAGTCCATCACAAAATTCCCACTTACCAGAAGAGCCAATGGGGTATATTGGTTAAAGCACCAGAGTAGAGAGTGGGAAATTGAGTGCTAGTCCTGCCTTAGGCGCAAAGCTATCTGGGTGACCTTGTGTAGTCCCTCACTCTCAGCCCTAGAAAGGAGGCAGCGACAAGCCACTTACAAAAAATCTTTCCCCAAAAATGGCATGGACTTGTTTAGGCAATTGCTAGAAGCCAAAACTGATTCAAGGGTGTGCACTCATATACAGAAGGAAAACTGCCTTCCCAGAGAGATCACTCCTAGAGGACAATTAAACATTAAAATGAACAAAGATAGATAGATAGATAGATAGATAGATAGATAGATAGATAGATAGATAGATAGATCGATCAATGCCTAAACCCCCTAAAAACTTTTGTGAAATGACAGGTTCAGGATTTCAGATCCTGCTTCTGAGTGGGGAAGGGTGTTTATATTTATGGAATAGTCTTCCCTGGAAATAAGATGGACCACATATATTGGCTTTCTCTAAGCTTTTAAAAATCAAATTGTTTTGGAGATCCTAAGGAGGAAGAAATTATCTCAGCGATTTGTTCCATAATTGATTTTATTTTATAATTTTAAATTTTATGTTGTGATTTTGTTATTGTAAGTTTATTGTGTTATTGATTTTGTTAACTGCTGAAAGTTGAAATAGTGGCAGGTATAAATCGAATAAATCAATAAAAACCAACATTAAGTATTTTAGAACAAGCAGTGATTTTACAGATGTACCATAGTTAACTAATTACATAATTAACATGGAACAATAGGCATATGGGCACGTGAATAAAAAGCAGTTATTTACTTCTCCCTTCAAATTCAAATAACTAAATGGATTGCTCATTTCAGTGATTAAAATAACCTTTTGCATTAGAATGGTAACATTCATTTCCTTGAAAGTACAATAGAGGATAATTGTGTTTTAATCTGATAACTGAAAAACAGATTCCTGTCAGATTCTGCTATGAAAGGAAATCCATACTTTGGGTATGAGAATTGGAGAGGGGGAAGAATCTTATTGTTGTCCACTCATTTTTTTCTAGCTGGTGGCACTTTGAACCTACCCCCTCCAAAACTGGTGCTACTGTATATAAATGGGCAGCGAATCCCGTACTCATCTGGAATTAAAATGTTTCGTTATCAGGGTGCCCCTTTCTATGACTGGCAAGGTAAAACTATATAAACAGTCAGAAAAACCCTTACTCATATACACTGATGGCGTTAACCTAGTTGGGTAATGAAAATGATAAATAAATCCGAACACCGGGATGAAGTATAAACAAAAACTGTTGTAGATTAAACAGTTTTTGTTTATATTTTATCCAGGTGTTCGGATTTATTTATCATTTTCACGACATACATACATACATACATACATACATAATTACTATGATAATCCCTTGCCTCAAGAGCCTGCAGTTCATCTTCACCAACTGGATTTTCTGGTTTTGGTGGAATTGCTTTCTTGTTCTGGCAATTACTCTACTGACTGTTGACAACAATTACCGTAGCATGTTACACTTAATTTTATTTATTTATTTATTTATTTATTTATTTATTTATTTATTTTATGAGACTTATATACTGCTTTAAGTGCAAGCACTCTCTAAGCGGTGTACACCAGTAAGCAATGTATATATATATTTACATTGCCCCCAACAATCTGGGTCCTCATTTTACCTACCCCGGAGGGATGGAAGGCTGAGTCAACCTTGAGCCGGTGAGATTTGAACCGCTGACCTGCTCAACACAGTCAGCTAAAGTAGCTTGCAGTACAGCACTCTAACTGCTGCGCCACCTCGGCTCATATTAAGGCTTATATTAGCCTTCAGGTAGAGATGGATGACTTGTCTTCTAGAATTCACATTTTAAAATTAAAATAGCATATTTTGTAATAAAGAAAGCATTATTTGGATAGAAAAAAAAGGTTGCTCTTCAACATAGCTTGATTATCCATGCAGTTGTCATGGCAAGATAGGGAATGGCTTGCCATTGCTTTCTTCCAGGATGACCAGGGTGGGTGAGGTTGTTTTTTTTTATTTCCCACATTAACAACTCTGTACTATCACATTATTAATGCATCTTGTTCTGAGTGTCTTATATGGCCTCAGTATATTTACCACTTGAGAAGTGAAGCCACTTTTAGTGAAGCTACTTCTACAGCATTTAGGTAATTCCAAATGGATGTTTTTCTAAAATGTTTTGGAGGAGCTGAAAGAAGCTTGGTTAGAGAAGGAAGAACACACTTTTGTTTAATTTATCTGTTTTTTTTCTTCCTTGCCCGTTACGCATAACTCTTTTTTTAGTAAATAGACATGTATGCCGCT